GCGACAAGAGAGTGATGACCAGAACATCACGAGCAGAGCGAGGACCACGGCGCTGGCTGTGGTGATCGTTATACCACTGAGTTATACACAGTTGATCTGCGGTGATTGGTCCTATGAGTTACGTGGTTCAACACTACAGAGCTGCGATATGTAGGAACTTCTCATGTACACACTTGGGATCACTGTTCTTCTTCAAATAGGTTTTCATCGGTCACCATCGAAATAGTATCTGCGTCTTTCCTGTTAATGTCGTCCGATACTTCCAAATGTACTACTTCATGTATACTTCATATGTTTGAAACTTAGGAATAAGTGTTTGGTCAGGACATCAAGCTTTATTAAATCTAGCTTACTATTAATATATAATAATTATATTATATAATATATAATAATTATATTATATAATAATAGTAAGTTAGATTTAATAAAGCTTGATGTCCTGACCAAACACTTATTCCTAAGTTTCAAACATATGCTGGATAAAAAATGTTGTGCATTTTACCAAGATAAATTATTGGTATAACATAATATTTTAAAGCTTTGCGAATGCGATCAAACGAGTACATAAAATGGCCATACATGTACCATGTATACTTTTGTTGTGTACTGCGAAAGTTAGAGGAAAAACCTGCTTGCGTAATATATAAGTATAGATGTGTATCGCGGTTGTGTAGTAAGGGTGTATAGCGTATATAGGTGTGGTTGACAAGATGACCACAGCTAGGGGTTGGAGTGTATAGTGAGTGTATCATGATTGTAAAGTGAGCGTATATATAGCGTATATAGGTCTGGTTGACAAGATGACCACAGCTAGGGGTTGGAGTGTATAGTGAGTGTATCATGATTGTAAAGTAGGCGTATATAGCGTATATAGGTCTGGTTGACAAGATGACCACAGCTAGGGGTTGGAGTGTATAGTGAGTGTATCATGATTGTAAAGTAGGCGTATATAGCGTATATAGGTCTGGTTGACAAGATGACCACAGCTAGGGGTTGGAGTGTATAGTGAGTGTATCATGATTGTAAAGTGAGCGTATATAGCGTATATAGGTCTGGTTGACAAGATGACCACAGCTAGGGGTTGGAGTGTATAGTGAGTGTATCATGATTGTAAAGTGAGCGTATATAGCGTATATAGGTCTGGTTGACAAGATGACCACAGCTAGGGGTTGGAGTGTAAGTTTTTTGGCACAAACAATGAAACACTGTCGGTTGACAGCGAGCTCGGTTAACCTAAAAAATGGCCGCTGAAATATTACTCTTATAATAAAACAAGGTCCACCTCAACAACGACATTGAATTACTCCCGAAATAAGAGAGGGATTTTAATGTTCTCATTTTTCTATTACGTCCGATGTAATTCATAAGCGGGTAAAAAACGGTTTTCCCAACCTTCACGAACGTCAAGATGGATTCTGGCGCTGATTTATAAGTGTCCAAATGCTCCCTTTTGTTTCTTCCAGCAGAAAACAACATAAATCAGCAGCCTAATGTTTTCCTCCCGGTGACGGTTTTATGGCATAAGTATGCATAATATAAGCCGTTTTCATAAATAACGGCATGAAAATAATCCCAGTAAATTAATTATGCCATTTTTCCAAAATGTATTTTTTTAACGGCTTAGTAAGAACTATATTTCTTAGCTATTGTGTCCATTGTAAAGGTGTGTACTTTGCCCTTCCACTTGTGTTATGTTTCAAGTACATTTAATTTTCCTCACTTCCTCTCAGGTAAAAATTACCTGGTTCACAAGTGTTTGCTTTGAAGAACTTATTTAAGGCAGTGCAAGTGTGATGAGAACACATCTTCAGACCACTTACAAACGAGTTTAAATTTGGGCTGGGTCTACAAAGCTTCAGCAATAGCTTGCACCTTCGAAAATAATCACACCCAATGTTGTTTGATTTTCGTATTTTAAAATATATATAACTTTTTACTAATAATTGTTAGGTATTATATTAAAAATACACTCCTAGGTTTTGCTTAATTGTTTTTAAAGTTCCTGTGTAGGATTTTCTTAGGAATTCTACAATAAATTTTTAATTCTTGAAGGCTTTTAGCTAAACGAGTCGAATAGAGTAGTAGAACAGATAAAAATTGCAAACTATTCAACAACTAACATATAAATATGAGATAAATGTTTATCTTTACGTTATTGATTATTGAATATTTGTTAAATATCACCAATGAGCAAGTGCATTATGATCGATATCAAGGGACAAGTAGACACAATCACTAGTGTGCGTTGAATATTTTTTTTGTCACATGAAAATAAATTTACTTAAATTATGTATAAAACGTTTGCCAGGTGAAACATGGTAGTAGTAATTGATTGGTTTAAAGATTATATTACTGAAACTATAATCAAGTAACTAATACAAACGATTTTAACGTTTCATCCTTATGTTTTGTAAAATTGAAATCAGCAAAAACATTAAATCACTGTTTCACTGATTTCTACTGCATACGCATCTTATTATATTTCACAAATCAACCAAAGTATACATTTGCACAATAAATGTTGAGTATTATCGTTCTTAGTTAATGTGTAATGGGATGTGTTAATGTGTGGATATAATCAATGACAAACACCAAGAAATTTGTAATTTTAATGAAAGATAAATCAGCAAATAGTATGTATTAAAATTTTAGTGTATATTAAATTATTATACAGTGATACAGACAAATTAATGTGTGCTTTTTGTTTAAGACCACTAACCAAATAAAAATATATGAATATGGCAGATAAAAAATAAGCTTAGAATTTGTAGATTTGCGTAAAACTATTGGGATGAAAGAATTCCCTAAAGGCACTGTCCCCCCATAGGCCGATTTTCAATGGACTAAATTTAACTAATTTAATGGATCAGCAAGTCGATAAATTAAAAGCTGTGTTTGTTTGGCGCTTTATTAAAATTTTGTAACCGGTTTAGTTATTTAATAGGAAGGTTTACGTTTGTATTAAGCAAGGTGGTAATTTTTTTGTAGAATAATTTTGATCATAATCCAATTTGGAATTAATATAAAAAGTTACAGGTAAGATTGCTTGGCTTAAATTGCAAAATTAGGGTAAACATCTTTATTTGATGAAACATCAATTAAGTGATTGATTTTATTGCTTATCTACGGTACGTTATTGGATTATATTTAAGCAATTGACTTTTAAATATAAGTAGGGTTTTAAAATTAAGTAGGCCTAGGTCCATATTTCTTAAGTTTATCTTTTTAATATCAAATTATGCAGTTAGAGAACTTTTATACATTAATCAGCGCCACTTATACGCTGTACTTGGTAGTGTTGGGAATTTAAACCCTTTATCAGAATTAAAAGGAGAGACTTAAACATTTTCGCGGGCCATTGTAGATATAACTTACAGTAGTGTGAGTAGAGTTGGTGCTTCAGAACAAAGTATGTCAACTCGGAGGTGCGGAACAATAAGCTAAGACCGCCGCAAGCCCAGCTGTTTTGACTGTGGGATGAAAAGTGGATCCGTAACACACGAATGTAAAGCCCGGTGTCACAGTCCTGGTTAACCGACGTCCCACGCTGAATTATGTCTCTTGATATAATAAAGCAAGGTCCAGCAGCGGCCCTCTAGTGAGCTTTAGGTGTCACGCTTTGTCCAACGGTGTTTAACGTTTTTTTTTTTATTCGCTAAAGGGATGTTCAAATGATGGTTTGCAAAGGCAGCTTCAGTTTGGATTAATTATTTTAGGAACAGGAATCTGTAGATTTAGGGTACGTCTAAAGTATTTAAAACGCTTCAGCTTCTTTAAATTCTACAAATAAGTTTTCTCTAACCCAGAAAAGTCCAGTATGGAAAAGGGCAAACTGTAAATCATTTTACGCACCAGTTTCGTGGATAATGATTCGTTTCAAAAAGAGTAATGAAAGTTCAACATTTATTCCTACAGTTACCCGACAAAGTGAGCTTCCTTTAACTGATTATAGCACGCAAAGTAGTAAATTGCTGCATTTACTTATTTTTTCCACACTCATTTTTTTTCCGCACTCCAGTTTTCCAACCAGACAACACAAAACACCGCTTGGCTTATGTTGCTTAGGTGTGCTTTATTAGCCACGTAATACGTGTACGCTTGAAAATAAGTTGGCAACACTTTCTTGTCAAAGTTACACACTGTTACCTTGACATCCAAAGAGATCCAAACTTAAAGATTAACAAAGTTTTATGTAACTAAGAAGGGATTTATGAAACGATTTATAAGACCAATGTAATTTTGTTGGAAACCGAGTGGTTATTGTGCCCGCCTTTAAATCGAACGTTGTTGGTTTGGTCCCAAGCGGGATCGATGCTGATCCTGGATGTAGGTCTATGAATCAATCATGTCATCTAACAAAATTTTGGAAATACAAAACTAGAGTTTGGTCCATTCCCATACAAAATAAAATGCAATAGTACAAAGAACAAAGAATAAAATTAAGTTATACTAGAGGTCGTCCAGTGGTCGAAAACTAGACTATAGATATGTAATGTACTGGCTTCTCTATTTTCACCCCCACACTGTAAATAAAACATGTGATTGGAATTTCTTCCATTTCGTTCGAACGATTTTCTGTTTATATTTCGTCACCAGGATGGCAACCCATAAGGCCCATGGAAACTTTTTTTTATTTAGATTTATTTTGTGTGCTTATTTTGAGCCTATTTTAATTTATAAAGGGATTATGCACATCTACAGGAAAATATCTTTCTAACAGTATGCGTAGATTTTCCCTGCGATGCACACAATCTGAGAAAAAAGGTTTAAAAAACGTGCTTACCTATAACATATAGACAAGTAATATCACATGCAGTTTCCAAATTGAAGGATTAACATACAAACAAAGCCCAGTTACTTTTCATTGAAGGCAGCGCGGTAACCGTCATAAATGAAGGTCTTTCTGTGCTCAGACTGAAGTTGCCAGGAATCTCCGTACTTCTTAAGGCAGTGAACATTCAACTCGTAGTTCCCCAGGACATCCTAGAAATAACACTTACTTGTCATAGAAGGCAGCGCCGCACACGTCACAACTGAAGGTCTTCTTCCGCTCAGACTGAGGCTGCCAGGAGTCTCCGGACCTTTTGAGGCAGTGAACGCCCAACACGTGGTTCTCCAGAACATCCTTTCTTGAGAATTCGGCGTTGCACAGTAAACAAGAGTAAGGACGCTCGCCTGTGTGAGAGTGTAGATGCTTCCGTAGCGAACTCTTCAGAAACACCCTGCAAGGATATGTGACAATTCAATTTATCGTGGAAATGATCAAGGTAACTCTTTACAACTCTTAAGTTAAATCACATACTACTAATTACCTCATACAAAGCATGATTTGAACAAGTAACACATTGAAAAGATTAACAATTAAAGATAATCTGATGCCATGGTCGTTTTAATACGCTAAAATGCAAATTCAAGACCCAATCTACTCACACACTTACATTTTTACATTTTGCCAAATTTTTTTAATTCTTTTATTTTTTGCGTTTTGGTTGTATATAATATACGTTATTTGACGTCATTGTACATTGGTCAACCCTAAAGCTCAAAGGTGTGCTAACTGCTCTCTATTTAGGTCTTCATTATTGATGTCCTGTGAGAACGAGATTTCGGCGTTTGCGCATGATAGAAATACCCACAACCCGACGTGGACAAATACTTTTTTTCACACCGCGTTGTGGGTATTTTGGATTTGCTCAATCGCCGAAGAACTTTTGAACTTCGGCATTTGAGTAAATCAGTTTACCCACAACAAGGTCTGGGCATTTCGCTTCGGCCAATGTCCGAATAAAATGCTCACTCCGCGACGTGGGTATTACACGCAGTCCACATCGCGAAGTGGGTAAAAATGTTGGACATTGTCCGAATTCGGAGTTTGAGTGTAGCATATACGGAAACGAAAAAGTTAATAAAATAAATATATTAGCTTTGATAAAAATGGAACTAAATTAGAGAAACTAACCTTGGGCACAAAGGGCACTTATAGCGCCGAACGTCTCCATCTTGGACGGGGTCCTCGTGAAGAGCAGTATGTAGCAAGAATTCCGCCTCAGAGTCGGAGGAGAAGCCACATTTAGAACATTGGAAGGCAGATACAGAAGCAGCTTCTGCAGTTTGGGAAGTGAGGGATGTCGGAGAGACAAAACCTCCACATCCAACAAGAGCGTGGCGGGCCAGCTCCTGCTTGAGAGTGAAGCGGGCACCACATTTGATACACCTAACATGGAGAATTAAGTTAAACCAATTAACCATACGAAATATATATCCCAAAAATTCTATTAAAAATGTGAAGATGGTGCATATTTGCACAAACAGAATACACACTGAGTAATTCTCCATTTTGGGAATCTGTAATCCTGATTTTTGCTCAACCATCAAAATCGTCTTTAACCTAAGTCGTAAGAAATATATAATACTGTCCATAGAGACTGAAAAAATACTTACCTGTACGCCATTTGTGGATGTTCTACTTTCATGTGCTTTTTAAGCTCATTGATGCCCGCGAAAATACCATAGCAGTGGCAGCAGACTTTAGCCAACTCAGCGTCCCCTTGCTTCGCCAACATGACGTCTTTGTGGTCAGTAGACGACCGGTGTGCTTTTGCTTCTGCTGCAGTCTTGAAGTTGACATCGCACACGCTGCAGAAGAAATGCCCCTCTGCATCCTGAAGGAACATTTTTCGGTTGTGATCTTTGTGCTTTAACCATCATTGTTAAGAGTTTTATTGAAGTAACTGCAAACGTAATATTTAAACAAACGTTATAAGCAAGCACTACTACCAACGATACCATTTTTACTGATTCGTCCACAAATCCTATACTCTACGAGCTATGTCTGTTTGTTTGTCTGCCTGTCTGTCTATAATATACATCTTAAAATACCGCGGAAGGATTTCGACTAAATGTTGGAATTGGGAACGTATAGACCTAACAACCTGATTGGCGACAGCCACTACCTAAGAAAAATTCCTATTTCGCTACACAACTCATTTTAAAATTTTGAAGTTTAACATTGGCGTTATGGGTTGTCAAGTAGCTATGTTAGTTGAGCAAGATAACAAGGAAAAAGTATACAAAATACATATCACATGTGTTTATAACAAGCCATCCACAGTATACTAGGGAATTATAAAATACAGTACAAAGAGGTAAACATCAGTTGTGACTATTGAGCACAGATTACACTAAATATTTCTCGGGAAAAATTGATCCGATCAAAAATACTGATTATTTTACTTAGTCCTCTCTCTAAAACATAGTCCCCGAAGTACTAAGGTAGTTTATTTTCAGCGAACTTTGGTTTATCAGTCAAATAAATCAAATAAAATATTAAATTTACTCTATGTAAATTATAATTTAATCAAACATTTTCCGACGTTTATCTAAAGATAGGTAACGATTAAATTTAACGACTAATTTTAACATTAACTTGGTGTAAATTAACATCTTGCATTGTTATCTATAATTATAAAAGAGAAAGTTTGTATATATATATATTTGAACGTTATGGACTCCGAAACCACTCGACAGATTGTAATGAAACTTTCTCATTATTCAAGGATGGTTTGTGTGAAGTTTGGTGCAGATCCGTCAAAAGGGCTCCGCCCCATTGGCTATGGAGGTTCCCATGTTAACCTTATGGGTGTACTTATATTTAAATAGAGTTAAAGAATCTTAACAGCTGGTTCAACTAAACAATTTGATTCTGTGATGTTCAATTGCATTAAAAAGTTAATAGGATTACCAACAGGGTCCAGCACTATTATTTTTTTTTTATTTATGACAACAGCTAATTTGCAACCAAAAGGTGAGTGAGCGTAGCGAACGAATAAAATATAAAGCAAGTGTTCATGAGAGTTTCAAGCTGGTGACGTTTAATTGCACTGGCATAGCCTAAGTCAATGGGGTAGATTTTACAATTTATTGTTATGTACTCTTTTAAAAGTATACATAGCAAGACCATAAAAGTGTATCCTATTTTGTTTGATTGCATACTTTTACATTAAAGAGTTGTTATTATTTCAGCGATTAAATGTCTATGGTTGGTAATAAAATGTTTTGGTAAATTATAAAATGTCTGTTTACGATATTGTTTTAACAGTTAAACCCAATTAACCACAACCGAGCAATGCTTGGTCCCCTGGTACAACAACTGTTTGCATTTTTATTGTTATAGTAGTTGTAAGTGAACTGATGACGTAATCATTTGGTTTGGGTGTTCTATCAGAGGTTTGTTGTACCTTGTGCGCCGCCGCGAGATGTCGTTGAAGTGACAGTCTGCTGGATGTCACCATGGGACACTGGGGACACGCTTCTCTCTCCTGGTGTTCGTCTGAAGCAGAACTGTTAGTCTGAGGATGGCCAGTGGACTTGCTGTGATGGCGGAGCTTAATGTTGAGACCAAACAGCTTGTGGCACACGTCACACTGGAAACGGATTTAGTCAAGGTAGAGTTAATTTGAATATATCTGCCAATGTCAAGTACAATTAATATTCAGTTGCTTGGATTCAGTTCGTCTAATATAAATTTGGACAAATCTCACATCGCTTTACCAAACTTTTGTACAATTGTCCACAAATAATTTTTATATTGTTATTTTAATCATTTAGAGAAAACTAGCTAAATGTTTGAATGTTATTTACCAGTTATAATAATAAATTTCCCAATTTCTATCACAGGAAGTAAGTGATAACTGAACTCTCTCAAGGGTTTTCATAAGAATCGCCACCACACAAATATTATCAGGGTTGGACACACACGTTTCTACGAAAGTGTATTATGATTTTATTGCAAGCCGATGACGTTATATCTAATGTCAACGGGAAACGGAGAACCGGCCAAATCTAGCACTAATCCGCCTATAGAAGTTTGGTTAGGTTGGTTAGTTTATGTAAAGTTAGATTGTATAAATATGACCCCTGAATTTACGACCAGTGGCCGGGACCCCTACACTCAAGGTCAACTGATGAACTGATGTAGGTTGGTAGGTAATCCTAGGCTCACCATAAAGTCATCGTCTGACTGACTGTGACTGCTAATCTCAAGAGAGTAGATTTGAAGAGCTACAGTCAGAACTACCAAGAAAAATAATTTACAAGGGAAATAAAGAATGGGAATTCCGGAAATTAACTAATTCTGATCAGTTTACGTGAACTCTGATTAATTTATGTTATTTTTCTTAAGGGAGCTTTATCTTGTACCATCTGTATTTACGTACAAACGAGAAACCATGAGCTTTGTTTTTTTTTGTTACATTGGTATGAGCAGAATCTGACTAATTAATAAGCAAAAATATTTACTTCTATGATCCTCTTTTTCTGCATTACGATGGGAACTGAGCCGTTGATTATGGCGACGCTTTCTTTGTGTCTGGAGCTCAGCAAATGCTGATACATCTGTGCGCTGCTGACGACTTCCACTCTGCAAATCGGGCAGCAGTAGTAGCCTTCGATCTGCACACCATTCGTGCAAGTGTTAGGCATACAGTACAGTATACGGTAGTTTCATTGTTGAGTGTCGTAAGCAAATGTCTAAAAGGCCTCTGATATTATTTGGTTGTTCGAAATAAAGCGTTATCAAAATAACACTATAAGTTTTAAATCTAGGTTTTTGGATGTAGGTTGTTCTACTTCAGTTGACACTCGGACTGTTGCATGTGATGCAGTAAGTAGCTCCTAGAAAGTACAGGAGATAAGATGCGGGTATTTATATACTACTCTAGTAACATGGAGCTTCTCGGCTTTCACCGTCGTGACGTGATAAGGTCTTTGCTCTAAGGTTTGCGTTTTGCATAACGAACAGAAGAAATCAATTGTGCTATTTAGTTGTGCACGAAGAAATGTATTGACAATTTTTTTTACTATTTTCGGAAGTTGAGCTTTATTTCTTTGTACTAGTACAAGTTTTTTTTAGATATATTGTTAAGATTATGACTAGATTTGTTAAATCATATATTTACACATTAAAATATCCTACCAATTGTAGGTAATGCGTTAACATGGGTAATATTATAACTTAGCTCGTAAATTGTGTTAAAAAAACATTGTAAATTATAAAACTCTCTGTAAACCTTGCCTGAGTGTCCTTCAGTTGATGAGTCTTACTGCCCCAGTGCCAGAGGAATGTCTGCATGGTGTTGCAGTAGAAGCTGCAAGGGCCGCACTGGAAGGGCGCCTGGCGTACGATGTCTCCCATGTGGTCCATGGCGAGACGGCCGGCTATTTCAGGGGCGCTGCGAACTCTGTTACTGTGGTAGAAGGACACGAGGTGTTTACTCATGAGCTGAGGCAACACTTGGCATCGACAAAGAGCACATTGCAGGGCTCCTCCGCGCCCTTTGTTAGGGACGCCATCCGGACTCTGCATCTGGGGACGATCATCGTACACTCATATTCTGAGGAAAGTACTATCAAAACTAAATTCACCTATATTAAAATACTAGACTATAAAAACAAATATTTTTCAAAAAGCTCCTTAGCAATAACTAAATTTATTCAATTACCGACGACCCATTTAATAATATTTTACTTAAATTTATCGTTTTCTCCGTACCTGAACTGATCTCTTGCTTCTGGGCCCCTCTGTCCATCCTTGGTCAGGGTCGAGAAACCTCGACCTCTTCACCTCCCGCTTTCCTTCAGGCCTCGGATGGTCCATGTACAGGTCCTCTTCGAGCATGTTCTCTTGACGGGTGCGGCGGCGGTGAAGGTCAGATAGACAATGCTTGTCGTAGAGTGCTAGAGACGAAAGTCTTCTATTGCAAGGTCCACACCAGTACCTCCTGTCTGCAGAGTCTAGGGTGGGCAGCCACTTACCTCGGGTATGGCCCGGGGGAGGACCTTGGCACTTGGATTCATCGACGACCTGAAAAATATAATATTTTACGTGACCTACGCATTTGCAAATAGCATTAAGCTTTGATACATATTGCTAAAAGAGAAATCTATGTCAGAAGCCAAGAAAATCTTTATTAATAATGTATTAAAGTTCTATAATGTGCCTAATTTTGATTTTGAGTATCATTTTTGTCATTAATACACCACTTCATAATCCTATACATGTTATCAGGTGACTTACCTGAGTCTCTTCATGCTGCGAGATCAACGTCGAAGTAAGATTCACGCTAGGAGTCACAACTGATGATGTCGATGTTGATGTTGACGGGGGCGAAGGCTTCCACTTCCCCCCTGTGAAGCCCACAGGAGGAGCTGAGTTCCAGGTAGGTTGGTTCATCCATTCGTGACCTTCCGGCTTCCACTTTCCACCAGTTGCTATCCTTTGAGACTCGTACTCAAGATCCTCGTCGTCTTCGTCATCCTCTTCATCGGATTCTTCACTGGAACTACCAGACACCTCGTTGTCTTTCTCATCCGCTGCTATTGTTACTTCGCTATGCACTTCTTGAAATAGAAACTGCCCCGATTCAGTTCTTGACCTTGATTTAGGAGATTCAGCTTCTGACAGTTTTCTCTCCTTTGGGGAAGCTCGTATATCTTTCCTGTAGTCATAATTATCAGCGATGATGACATCTTTCCCTACTACATATTGACTATGTTCATTCGGGTAGTCATAGTCATACTCCTGTGAAGTCAACTTTGACGTGTAATAGTCCTTGTTTCTTTTCGCTTGGAGAACAGCGGACGCTTTACTTCGTGTCACTACTCCGCTCTGAGGCTTCTGAGAGGAACTGAGATCTTGAAATGTAGTTTTGCTACATTGAAGTTCGAGGATGGAAAAGAAATCTACTGCTTTTAGAAATGATTCATTATCATGCGAGGGCGAGGAAAGAAAGGGGTCTAATATTTCGTCTTTGCGATTAATCTCCAACATATCTGGTTGCAAAACATCCTCTAATCTTGACGTATCTTTTACAGAGGGGCTTGAGTTTTGGATGCCGTCTAAGACCCAAGAAGCTCGGTTGGAAGATCCACTTTCTGAAACCACATCCAATTTACAACTAGTCTCGCCTTCTGAATTATCTTTGCCGTAATGCAGATCTAAACTGGTCAGGGGTCGGCTGTCTTCTCTCTTACACTTTGTCTTGCGGTGTTCTATGTACTGGTCGAGCCCAATAAAAGTTCCTTTGCAGCGCAGACAAAAATGTGCGTCATCATCATCGGAGTCACTCATGATTAGGACCTGTAAATAATGGTCACTATTAGGAAATTTAGTATTGCTTACAAACAATTTTATACGTTCAAAAAATGTTTTCCAAATTTATTGGATTACTGTCACACAGGACTATTGTCTAATTTTAGTATTTCAGCATTTATATTAGTGTTGTGTCGCTATCTCGGTACAGGATTAGAACATTTCCTACAGTTTGTCTACAACGAAAAAGTTGGTAAAAAATGCTTCAAATATAGATCCAACAAAAGCCCAAGCTATAAAGTGTTCTGAGTGATTTTATCAAATGACATTAACTCTGTATATTTATTAGGGGCTATATGCTCTAGTTTTAAAATGTAAGATGAATAATAAAGTGTACTAGTTCAAAGCTTGTATATTAAAATATTTGCATTTTATCCCTTACGACTCTCTTGTCGGCCGTGAGCCGACATCGACCACATTTGTAGCATTTGTATCACATGTCGGCTTCGAAAAAAAATAAAAAAGCTGTTGGAAATTGTATTTTATATTTTTTATTATTAGTGTAATTGGAAGTTAAAATACCGGTAGCCTTAATGACCTGCATAGTAAATTAAACCTAGGGTGTAGGGTTTATAGTTTTGATCACTTTTCTAAAATACAACTATTTTTATAATAATTATGAGTCATAACATTTTTTTATGAGTCAAATGCGAAAACGTGAACGAATGAATAAGAACAAAATATCTCTTATGAGGCTGAAGCATCAAAGAAACCAGAAATGCTCTCCACAGGACACATTTTATTCAGAGCAGAAGAACAATCGTATTTGTTTTTATGGCGGCCATAAAGTTTTAGCACTGCTCTCTTGTCTTCCTATGACATAATAATACACCCATATCTATGTACTTTTGGATGTACAAAATATGGTTATTTCTGTATTCCACGAATACAAATTATACATATTAAATATTTAAAAATATCATATACATTTTTACATTTAAATCACGATTATACAGTACAGTACAGTGATAAGACTACAGCTAAGAAGTTTCGACTCATAAGGTCCCTTCAATTAAAATCTGTTTGCACATTGTTACTTATATACGTGATCATTAAATAAAAAAAGTATTATTAATTTTTTTACTGATCACAACTGTACACTGTATATTATTTATACCGGGCATACTTTAGTTACAGCCAATTCTTTGTACTGATAGATTTATTTTATAGATGCAGTTTTCAACGTGACACGCAATGCTACTTGATTTCTATTATCAGTTTGCAATTGTCTCCGTGTGTAATCAACAGATATACGTCACTCAATGGTGTTATTATCTATATAATAACAGAATAATTACAAGCCATGAGAAGGGAGCACTTTATGGCCTAAATATTCGGATATTAGTTCAATTGTTTTAAAATTATATTACACACTAATATGTCATAGGCTGAGTAGTATCATTTGCTTTTCATAGAGCTATTCTAAATTGATTTATAGACACTATTAAAAGCGAGATAAAAAATCTTGAAGACTCACTTTCCCCCTTTAAAATTATCTCATTGAATACTTTGCTATTCTTATCAGTTTTCATTACAGTTATAATATATTATATATTATATATTCAGCCAGTGAATTCCATTTTTACTACACATTACTCTTGGACTATAGAAATTAGGTAGGCAAATGATCTGAAATGTGATCATGACAATGTTGTAATCTTACTCATTAAAGATATACTCACATGATGTAGAATATATAAAAGAGGAGAAAAAAAAATATATAATGAAATACGTCCATAAATACAAATATAGTCGCATAACATGTGATATTTTATTTAATTTTAAAAGCAATTTCGGTAATTTTGACTTGATGGAAAAATTCTCCTTGTTATTCTTTTATAAATTTTCTTAGGAATGCGCTATTGAAGGAACCGCTTTTGCTCTTTCACATTACTAATCAATGATCATTTTTAGACTTTGTAAAGGTAAGCCAATCTGAGAGTGGAGAGTGGAGAGTGTACAGTTGCAAGTTATTACAAAGGGTGCATTACTGTGAGCCTGAGACAGGGGTTGTAGCGTGTACCGGAGCTGTTACTCATCCTTACGTTGGCAGCTTTATGCGAGAGAGGCCGTGCGTCTTCGTCACATCATCCTGTTCCTTCATCCACCCTCCACCTCCACCGCCATCTCATCTGCATATCTCTCGTTGATTGTAACAAGCAAAACAATCTTAGACGATCCAAGCTACCATAGCTCTAATGTAGTTGAACGATTCCGTATCTATTTCCCAAAGTGGCCACGCAATAACATAGATGTCACTAGATGTAAATGCTAACAGCTAATGGAGAAACAATCATGAGTTGAAATACATCTAGTCCTTTGGAACACCGCTTGGGTTTCATTACAACCTGTATTACACCCATTGTCGTCAAAGGATACAATTTTTAGTGTTGCGTTTGGTTTAAGGTTTAAGGGTAATAGATAAAGTGCATTATCTATATAATTAATACGCTACATGAAACTTTGTCGGTTGAACTCCTCCACCATTTCTTAACCGATTTTATCCATTGACGTGTCATTGGAAAGAGTGTGTCGCGTAGATTTGCAAACTGGCCTTACACTTTTGAAAATGTCCCTTGGGCTCTGCCCCAGTGGCTTTGAAAGTTCACATGTTATCCTTATGAAGAACATAATTGTTTACATTTTGATCAGCTGTATAATTTAATTGCTGTTATTTATTTTCAATTCAACGAAACGCATTGAGTATATTGACCGATTTTGTTGAAATTAAATATTTACTACTTTAATTCACAAAGTAAAAAATCGAGAAAGTCTGGGCAATTTGATATATTTTACCTCATAATGAAGAACACCTAGAATATGAAGATTCCCACAAACAATGAACAAGAATGTTAGCCGAAGTGTTACTATTTTGTAGGAAACACGGACTTAACTTTATGATGATTGGCAGATGAAAACACACTAAGGCTGAATTTAACTGGTACGGCAAGGACATTAAATATATGTTTTAATAAAAGTCAAGTGATTTTAAAATAATATGACTACATCCAAGAAACCTTATTAAAACTTTCATTGGAGGATTTGCATTATTCACATGCAACATTATTCACATGGGAAACACAAAACCACCTGAACAAATATTTGTAGAATACACTTAAAAACTAACTAGAAATCAGCTTTTGTATAAAATGATAAAATATTTACAAGAAATGTTGATTATATGGAACTGTTAGGTACGCAATCTATAAGTTGAGTCTTTTAAACTCATCGGAAATTATGACTTTTATTAGTTTTTAAATAAGTTATTTGTTTTTAAATAACTACTTTACTTCTTTACAATTTCTCGATTTCGAGCAACATGTACACTAGTCACCATTAAGGAGGTTCTACCTGGTCAATTCAAGATGGCGGCTAAACATACTAATGTTCCTGAACATGCCTCTACGGTATACACGCTCTCAACCTTCTAAAACTAATTTATTTCCAATGATTGTGTGCTTGTTGTGCTCTTAACATATCAGAGCTTGCAGTGGGTTGAGAAAATTTGTAACTATTATATTTGACTATTAATACAACATAGTCAATGCTATTATTTAGAAGCTAAAATCGCTTGTGAAAAAAAAACTAATGTGCGCATTTTCAAAATGATTTTGTAAATACTTAATGAAACCATTACGAAGTTTCAGTTCAGCCAGTGTATAGTTTGGATCTTTGTGAAGTTTATTTCCAGTTTATTTTAACTTGATAAACACTTAAATAATGCCATAAGGTTCTTTTTTGTGGGACCATGTTTACGCGTAAACAGCCGGCGGGTGGAACCCCCTTAATAGTTTGAACGAATAGAAGAGATGGAAGACGGGGATAACACATGTGATTGCCGGTGTCATCCCTGTCTCGACAGACGATCTACCACAGGAAACCTGAAGTAGAAAGAGAGGCTGCTGCCAGAGAAGAACGCAACCGCAGTGGACCGTCAAGCTCATTCCTAGCATCCGACCATAACTGCAACGGGAGGATGGTGGGGTCGAGGAAGGTGATATGTCCGCTGAGCCTCCTTGATCTCTGAGATCGGCGTCGACAATACTCCTTAAAACATCGTTGGAGCTAGGGAACCTGGAACTGTCTTTCACAGTTGCAGTGTGTAAAGCAGTTCACAGAGTCCATACTTCGGGCTGAGGCCCTAGTGCCATAGTTTAAAAGGCCTAGCCCGAATTAATGTGCTAAAAAGTTCCAGGTTAGTGTCCTTAAGGGGTGTTTTAGCCGGTAGTTTGGGGACATTGAGCCCGCGGGAGTCCGGTACTATTGAGAGGCCATTGAGCATCTCAGTGAAAACGAATACGTTAACATTGTGAAGATTTAAATATCAAATTGCAGAGGTTGGTAGTGTCGAACATTCTTTTAATAGTTGTTACACTATTATTTAACTAGGACACATTTACTTTACTGTACTGATTTATCC